TCTTATCCCATTTTCCTCTCCTCCTCTCTTCCTCCTCTTTTTTCCTCCTCTCCCATACTATTCCTTCTTATCCTCCATCTTCCTCTCTCCTCTCTTCCACCCTCTCTTTTACCTCCTCTTTCTTCTCCTCTCCCTATTTCTCCTCCTTATCTTCCATCTTCCTCTCTCCCTCTCATCCTCCTCTCATTTACCTCCTCTTTCTTCTCCTCTCCCTACTTCTCCTTCTTATCCTCCATCTTCCTCTCTCCCTCTCTTCCTCCTCTTCTCTTCTCTCTCCCTACTTCTGCTTCTTATCTTCCCCTCACTTCCTCCTCATTTACCTCCTTTCCTCTCCTCTCCCTTCCTCCATCTTTCTTCTCGCTCACCTCTCCTCTCTTTCCCCCTTCGTTCCCAAACATTTCATGTCCTTTATCTCCCTCTACTTACTTCTTAGTTTGTCCCCTGGTAGTTTCTTATCACCTTTACCGTCCCCTTCTCTCTCCTCTCCTCCCCTCCCCTCCCCCTCTCTCTCCTCCCTCCCCTCCTCTCCTCCCCTCCCCTTCTCTCTCCCTCCCCTCCTCCCTCTCCTCCCCTCCCCTTTCCTCTCCTTCCCTCTTTGGACCTTATTTCAGTTGTTTGTTTGTTTATTCCATATTTTTTTTCTTTGTCTCTCTCGTACATCTCTTTTATTCCCCTTTCACCTTTTCCTTTCCTGTTGTTTAAATTTCTATTGTTTATTTTTAATTCATCTATTTTTCTGTTTTCATTTTTATTTATGCATTGTTATTTTTAAAATCAGATTCTATTGTTATGGTCATTATCATAGTTCCATAATTGTTTTATTATCGTTATAATTTTTATTAAACAATTGTTTTATTATCGTTATCATTATAATATAATGATGCTGATATCGTTAATGATCACAATTACCATCATATTGAGATTAGATATATCATTATTCTTATCGTAACCATCAGTGCCTGTAACAGCCCCATCTACTGTTACCACTAATACCCTCATTATTAATATCTTCATCTCATTATCATCACTACTACTATTACCACCGCTATTACTGTCACTAATTACCGTTTATATTATAGGATTTAGTTATTATTAAAGACTTTATAAAATATTCGGTGCCGGGACTATTCGCTGTTGACGCTTTTATCAACCACTGTGAGTTTTCTTTTGTTTTTTTTTTTTAACTCGCCTTTAAACTTTCATCTCTTTTGGTCGTTAGCCTCTCTCTCTCTCTCTCTCTCTCTCTCTCTCTCTCTCTCTCTCTCTCTCTCTCTCTCTCTCTCTCTCTCTCTCTCTCTCTCTGCTCCTCTCTCTCTCTCTCTCTCTCTCTCCTCTCTCTCTCCTCTCTCTCTCTCTCTCTCTCTCTCTCTCTCTCTCTCTCTCTCTCTCTCTCAGGGGATAAAGGGAGAGAGAATAGAGAAGAAGAGAAAGATTAAAGAAAGGATTGGTGGAAAGAAGAGGAAGAACGTTGTATAGGGATAGGTGTCTGGAGAGAGAGAGAAAAAAGAGACAGAGAGAGAGAAATGGGACACAGAGACAGACAGATAGAGAGAGAGACAGACAAACATACAAAGAGAAATACACACTGACAGATATGTAGGTTGTTAAATGGATCAGTTAAATAGACAACAAAATGGGGGGGGGGTAAAGAGATGAGAGATGCTGCATCCGGCGCCAGGAAATGCGAGAGATGACAAGAGAAACACTCCACTCCATCACTAGATTTCTTCCCCCCCTCCTCCCCCCTCCCCCCCACCTCTCTCTCTAAAAAAAAAGTCACAATTGACGATCACTGTCCTCCTTCTCTCCCCCCCCCCCTCCCTCCCCCCTTCCTCTCCCTCACAGCAACAGCTTTGGGTTAAATTGCACTTCCTGTAGGCGGGGTGCGCTGCTATCCCCTCCCCCTCCTGTCTCTACTCCCCCTCCCCTCCCCCATCCGTTTATCCCACCTCCCTCCCTTCCCCCTACCTTACCCCACTCCCCCTCCCCCACCGTTTCCTACCTCCCCCCTCCCTTCTCCTTTGCTTTTACCCCACCTCCCCATCCTTCTCCCACCTCCCCCTCCCCCATGCCCTACTCCCCTCCACTTCCCTCCCTCCCCTTATACACCTCTCCCTCCCTTCCTCCCCCCCTGCCTTTACCCCCCCACCTCCCCATCGCCTTACCCCCCCCATTCCTCTCTCGTGCAGGCAGGACCGGAAGTGGCAGGTGAGAGCCAGCCTCTTAACCTCATACGGTACAATATTATATATACGTTAATATATATATATATATATATATATATATATATATATATATATATATATATATATGTATATACATATTACGGACCGACATACAC